GCCCCGCTTTTTCTCTTTCTAATAATATATATATCGATATAGTTTAGCTTTTATTCTAGCTAATAGAAGGGTTATAAAACCCTTACTCCTATAGTTTCAGCTTATAGTCGGAACGCGAGCCCTAACATCGATAGCTTTTTTCAGCTACTTGGTCTCATGCCCGCCCGCCTATGCGGGCAATACCTATTCTAGTCTAGGCATACTGTAGTTCGCATGGTTTGAACACAGACCCGAGTGGTCGATGATAAAAGAAATTGCTTGTGCACCCTCAAAAGCTGAGGTAGGTATCTCTGGTTCATCTAGATAAGCCAAAGCAACCACGGTGTCAGAACCACTGGCCAGCTATGGGACGACTGTGGGATACCACTTGTCTGGCAGAGGGTCACAGAGAAGAAGGGCGGGGACTGCGCGTCGCTAAGAGCTACCTAATACATAGAGAAAATCAACATTCATAGTTAGAGAAGGAAGGTATTGGTTTTTCTACTTGATTAGAGACCCCAAGAGACTAATAGTTGCTACTCTTCACTCGGTGCAAGAACTCCTTGACACTTGGCACCACGGGCAGTGAGAGCTTGAGCCTTGGTACTCGAAGCATTTCGGGTCAAGGCGCGGACCATCCACTCCTGATCCTGGAGGAATGTGCTAGCCATGGAAACACCTTGGTTACCAGTGGCTCCAAACATGGCAAGGTTTTTCGCGGAATGTATCATGAAGTAAAAAAGGATAATACAATAGCATACTGAAAACGAACCTTCAACAAGATCTCCGCGGGCCACTTTTGTGTTCCCAATGCAGGTAACTTCATGCACCACAGTCGAAGAGGAAACTTCCAAAGCGATCTGCGAGTGTTTGCGCGACTAACCTCCTTTACAGTTTTCTTGCTACCAATCTAAGCCGATGATTGCGTAAGCCTGAAGGACAGAATTTACCACTTTGGGACTAGTAACCCAGTGATCGGTGGAATTCATGGCCTCCTTGAAGCAATGAAAGCAAACGCAAATTCCCCTTTTCATCTGCTTACATTCCCGCAGTGCTTGCTTATTGAGCTTGAAATATTGTGCTGCAACAAGGTCAAGACGGCGATGGATGTTCAAGGAGGCTCAGTCGATGATCGAAAGGAGCGGAGGAAGGAGAATAACCGGCGAAACCAGAGAGCACGGAGTAAGTCCCCAGTTCGCTACGCTCATTGATAGTATTACACGAAGTTTACCCCAGCCGCAGGAGAACGTCTGAGAAGCCAGGAGGATGCCAATACCTTGACCTCGAAACGTCCGTTCCACGTCCATCGATGGCGAGCCCTCGAGAACGTACCCTCGGTGCAAGGGACTTCTGTTAACCGACGAGCACAGCTGAGCCAAGAACCGGAGCCCGTCTCCCACAGCAGCGAGATCCCTCTGCCCGCAGATCATAAACTAATCAGTCTCATCGCTTATAATGTTTGTCGAGCTATCATCTCGAACAAACAAGCATTGCGCCGCCTTTCTGTCTTTATTGATACAAACGGAATTCCGATCTTACCACGGCCCACCAAGAGCGCTGCCGAATGTGCTATTGCGGTGGTACGACCAACAGTATCAAATATGCCACCTGGTCTCTTTCCTACGCAACTCCAAATGAACTCTCCGCACCCCACATGGATGGATGTCTTTCCATTCCCTAAGATGCGAGATAATCTTATCCGGCGTCAATCTTCGTTCGATCATCAGAGCTTCTTTGTGGACATTGTCGGTACAGTATCTAATGTAGAACCCGCACGCGTGGATTCTGGCCTCGAGATCACAATGCCCATATCGAGCCTGTGGAGGGAGCACAACAGCACAACCATCTTCTTTAGCAACGGTCTCATTCTCTGGGGTGAGCCTCATTTGATGGAGAGCTGGGAGGTGACACCGCAGTTTTACGCCAAGTGGAGGTGGGTATTTCAGGACTGCAGCGAGATCGTTGAAGCTTCAAACATGTGGCGACTCGTAAGGGGCGAGAATCTATTAGTAGATGAGGTTCAGTAGCCCTCGCTGCTTCCAAGGTTCCGTTGACAAAAGCTGAGGCCTGGCCGAATCACAATGTTTTGCAATACTCATGGAATTTGTTATTAATTAAGCAGAAGAACTTCTCATAATTATACTCACGCAGAACCTATCGTTAACTGCATCCAGGGTGCGTCGAGGCCAATCTTGTATAAGATATTGATAACTCCCGGTGTGGTGCTCTCGACCCAGGATGAGATTAACAACGATCTTCTCGGCTGAGTGAGGGAGGCCACGGGCTCGGTCAACTATACGCTTAACACGCTCACAGAGAGCATGGCAACTCGGCTCGAGACAGTTTCCAACGGCACAATGCTCATTAAGCCCATCAAGAACGTCATCTTCTGCAAGATCGGTCTCAAGGTCCATCTTCCCCTAACCTCCTAGCCAGGAAAGCGCTCGCTGTACTCTGTAGTCCGAATTTTGATCTTCCGCGATCTTTGATGTCACCTGCCTATCTCGTGGCACCTGCGAGCAGTCCGATGTATTGTCCATAGGACCCATAACGCCGCGGTTGCCACGCTCAGACTGAAGACTATATTGGGGATCCCGGGGTTGATAATCATATTCATCAGCAGCTTAGCTACCATATGAAACATCATAGTGCCGCGAAATTCTCTGTGATCCTGCCGCAGGTGAGGTAAAAATCTGTCCTGGGTCGTCTAGGGATCTCTGTGTTCTTGCTGACGACCCTGGAGTCTGAAGTAAGGGGCATCTTCATAATTGCCTGCGACCCCGGAGACATGCAATTTTTGGAGATCTCGCGATTTCCGGGCCCTGCTTGAAGAATGAGAGTGTTAGACGTTGCTTCCTGGCGTCGGACCAAATTGCCCTTGACCGCTCGCTGAGCCATGTCCAACGTCCTGATTTTCCGAAGCAGTTATTCTCTGGTGCGGCCACCCCCCGCTTCATCCGAACATTGTGTGAAAAGATTTCTTTTGGATTACTGGCTTGACTTCTCCTGCGCACGCAGCCTGTGGTCGACAGCTCGGCTGTCCCTCGGGGTGCCTTGAAAATCGCCCATATACCGGCCAAACTTAAGGTATGGAGTACTTTATTTGCAGCTAGACTATCACTTCGGGTTCAGTCTGGGAGTTCATGTTCAGTGTGCTACCTTAAGCATCGAACTCTGCAAGCGCAAGTACTGTTTGGAAGGCATTCTGAATATGGCGCCCATTCCACCAATCATGCTCTTCATCCAGGTAGTGATCTCGCGCAACTTTCTCGAAAGCAGATTCGTCAAAGATGAGAGTGCGGCCCTGCTGTTTAATTCATTTTTGTATCAAATCCAGATTCAGCCTGAAGACTTTGATATTTTTTTACTCGTTAAATTCTGGATAGTAGAGGCTCATATGGATTCTGGATGTAAAAGCCTCATCAAAGTCTCCAGAGCGATTGTTTGTAGCATGAGAATACCAGAGTCATATTCCAAGACACGAAGGAATACTGCAACATGTTATCTGACGCAAGGATCACAAACAGTGGGTAGCTCACCAGCAACGAGGGGATTTCGCACAAAGTCGGATCCATCTCGGGCCATCAGAATGACGCCTGCCTCATCGAGATGCAAGATACAGCCCCATATGCTTGCCAAGGCAAAATTCTTCTCAGGTTCGGCTTTAACCTCTTTGGCAGTTGTCCCAAGATTGCCTTGGTTCTTGTCAGCTTTTGCGGCAATCACCAGACGATAACTTCTGACCGCAGGTGATCTGGAACAGCTGCTTCCTGAAGCGCTCAACGATTCCCTCTTAGGGTCATGTCAGTGCTTGTTGGCCAGCTCCCTAAGGAAGTCTTACCAGCGGTTGCAGTCTTCCCAACACCCGGTGCACCACGCAACAACAGAATTAGCCCCTTGCCTATTACTTTGTCAATCAAGCGATCAGCAAGCTAGTCCGTCAATGCTTGTCTTTTTCTCAATAAAATCTGTTTGTTCATCTCTCGTCAAGTGTTGGCGTTTTGGCCTAGAATGTTGGATCACAAGCGACTTGAGCATCTTGCTGCGTCTTTCGGGTAATTCGAGCGTCTCGAACGCGTTGACGGTCAATTTTCTGGCGTTGAGATTCTCGTCAGAGAGGATTCCGAGTCTTCACCCTGCTTTTGACTTCGAGCAGGTCCGATATGACCACTCTGACGATCGATTTGTGGCAAGGCACGTACCTGGTCCGAATGCAGACTCGTCAGCTCACACTCTGTCTTCGATGCTACTGACGCCAGGAGGGCGAACCCTAAGCATACTATCGGGGAAATGAACTTTTGGCAAGACACGTTAAACCAAAAGCGATGGAAATGTTGAAGACAGAACCCATGCCGAATATGAAACTCGCATGGTGTATACATCATGTCTTCGTGGGCCGATGTTCAGGCCCGATGACAGCTGGCTCAAAAGGAATATGACTAGTATCACGGTCCCCAACACTTGAGAAAGGCCAGGAGATGGATGAAAATTATTTTTGAACAAAAATGCTGTCAAATTCTTGCAAGCAGCTAAGATTATTCCCGATGTAAATATTGCTAAGCCCATGATATGTGCAATCCGGATTGCGGTCGATGACTCTCGTGAGAAGACATCGAATGTCGGGACTCCACTGCCCTTTGCGAAATTTTCTGTTCACTGGTTCAGCAGCTGCCTCCACATACCCAGGCCTTTTGCATAATTGACGACATCAACTTGTATGAAAATGAGCATTTCTGGGACGGCATGGACACCGTCATATCGTCGCTGGTAGATCTGCTCATGGCCAGCCAAGGTGAAGGTCAACCTGCGTTCAAGTTACTCATCACGAGTCCACAGCCTACTTTGGACATCCAGAAGGTCTTGCGAGATAATCCCTTGAAGCACTGCTGAGAAGTCTGGAAGAAATGAGCCGCATGGTGCTGTGCTCCATCAGGGAATCACTCGCGGATGGACACCGCTTCAGGGTGACCTTGAAAACCATAAGCCTACTTCAACAATACAGCAGACGCGGTCGTATTGGGCTTCACAAAAAGTGTTAGGGCACAAAAGCACTCGGGTAGTTCAGAAGAAGTTAAAGAAAATATCAAATTCGGGTTTCAAGGTTCCACAGCCGTATTAGAAAGAGAACTTCCGATGGCCTGGCGGATTGCATTCTAGTTCGACCGGGTAAATGGGCGCCTCCAGCTCCCACCGCGGTTCTTCTGCTTTGAGTTCGGCAATGGGTTGCTGTGGGCGATGCAGCGTCAACGGACTTGGCTCCATGGATGCTTGACTTGTTGCCGTCCATGCTGGAGTGTATGCCGATGACGGGGCCGAATGGCCTTGCACTTCGCTCATCAACGCATCTTCTCGGCAGTCTACCGTCTCGGACGGAGCAGTGTCCGCGAAGCGATGTACGGTAATCCCCGACTTGATTTCCTGATTCCGCCGACGTATGCAGACACAAACGATGACGATCGTCAGGGCAGCTACTGTGCCAGTGACGCCCCCGACAACGCTCGCGATTATGGTGATTGTGGACTTCTTACTTGGGGGGGCGTTCCCGCCATTCGTGTAGTGACCTGGGCATGTCAGCGATATTTAGACCACATCAAAGTTAACCGCACCACTAAAGATTTCCTTGACTTCGTCGCTAGACCACTCAACCTGTGTCATAGATCTGTCGACGTTCAGCAAATTTCAAACACCAAGAATAAACCCGGCTTACCCCGCAGCATACCAGTCCGCGATGGACGTGGGCGTGTCATAATCATTGTTCTCGCTGGAGTATATGTGACTCCAGCTCAGGTTTACCAGGTCGAAGACACCAAGTCCGTTTGCCCATGGATCGACATCCTCAAATACAGCCTCCTGGGAGCCGAGTCCGAGGTTGGCACCGCCGATCACAACCATTTGCCGTCCACCCGCCCGGACGCACGCGTGGTCTGCGCGGGGCGAAGAAGATGGATAATCGACCTTGGTCCAGTGAAACCCAGGAATAGTCAGCACGTACAGATCATCGTAAGCCTCTGACAGTTGGCTATTGAATCCGCCGTAGACAAATCTATCAATGTGTTAGTCAATGGCACCGTATTGACCTATGGGAGCGACACGTACATTTCTGTCGTTCCGTTGGTACCGTTGGCAGAGACGGTACAGAAGTGGCTCCGGTTCGAGGGCGGAGATCCCGTTGTGTCCTGCTTGAGCCACTCATCTTTGTGTATGCTGTATATGTGCACCTGGTCAAAGGCGACATATCCTTCACCTTCCTCGTATAGGGACGTTTGACCCGTCTCGCCCCCAAGTACGATGACGATACCGCTCTCTGCATAATTGGCAAGGCACGTCGCGCTGCCGTGATAGTATGTGTCATTCTTGTTGAACCCATTCGTTGACGTAGACCACGTGCCGGTCTCCAAGTCATACATTGATGTGGTTACTTTCGGAATCTTCGTAGTCCGAGGGACATCGACACTCGGATCAGTATCGACATTGACCCATCCTCCAATGAAAAAGGCTGTGTTGTCACACACCACAGCGCCGGACCCGGCCGAACGCTGGGCTGTCGTGCGTCGAGACGTGGTATCCTCGCGCTCCAGGCCCCATGATGTGCCGCTCAAGGCCGGCTGCATGGTCCAGAGATATTCGCTGCTGCTGTTCGCTTGTTCATTGGTCGAGACGCCACCCCAAGAGATCAATTTTCCGCCGTCCGAGGTCGTCAAAATGTCTGGGTAATTGTTTCGCGGTGATCCTGTGTAATATAGTTGGTTGTATGATAGTGAGTCGTTCGACCAGGATGAGTTTGTTGGAATTTGTAGCATGTAAGGACCTGCTACTTATCAGAATATGGGCATACTAGCAATGGAGGGTGTTGCAAACTGGACTCGTTGTAGTTCGCTGCTCCGTTCTGGGTTACCAGAAGGCCGCCATCGACATAGATGTAATCGCCTGATACAGCCGCTGGTTGAGAATGTCAGCCGGTATACCTGAGACGCCATTCAACAGCCAGCTTTACCCCCAGTGGCTATGCGCCTCGAGAATTCACTGTCGTCAGGCGAAGGTCCCGTCGTGCTCTGGCCCTCGATCGACGCCCCCTTGGAGGAGGAGGCGGCAGTGAGCAGCAGCGATGACAATACTCGGGTATGCATTTTCATCAGAGGCTGCAGACACGGAGAGACGATACGAGTTGCAAAGATTTAGAAGAGTTTGTGGGAAAAGGACGAAATCAGCGGTATCCCGCGCGCTGACAAGACGAGTGGTACGTCACGCAAGGCTAGAATCGTTTAACTGGAACACGGAACTTTTAGTCTGAGGCCGTTACGATAGCTATGCCAGATACAGGTAAAAACAAGGAGCGGTCTCCACAATAGTTAGCCAGGCCCAACGCTATCTTCGGGATGTCGGACGTTTCTTGCTGCTAGCGCGACTGATGGGTTCTCCATACGATATGGGGGCCGAGGTTTGGGATGTTCAAGTCGTGCCTGGCTTGAGTAATGCGTCAGCTTGACATCCTGACGAATCGCAAAGTATAGACAAGAAGCAAAACAACTGTTGTGCTTGTAAACATTCATTGAATAGAGCGAGCTATCTAGTTCGAGCCCTATAAACTAGCAAATGCTACTCATCAGTGTTGAACAACCTATAAATGACGTGATCACTAGTCCCTTCTCTTCGTCTTCGGTTTTAGAACCGGTCGGACGACGTCTCCTTCTCGCTATAAAATCACAGGGTAATGTCTACAGGATATAACGCCTCCATTTCTGGTTTCGAAGCAAGATTATACGTGTAGTCAGCTGACGACGCATGCACGGGAGTTCTCGATGACGAAGCGAGGTAAATCTGAGGATACCTTGTATTTTATACACTTTCATACGCGGTGAAGGGATTTGAGATTCTTTTAATAACCAGTACCGAAAATGATACGCAGCACCGTCCACGGCAACCCAGCATCAAGATCACGGACATAATGGGGGACCATGTTCCGCCTGGGCCAGCGTCTATGACTAGGACTCTCTTGGGCGCCGTACCGCCCACGAACGGGTGAACACTTGAGCTCGGCCACGATGTCTCGTAGGAGTCGTTATTAAGGCCTAAAGACGCGTTGCAAGAAACGTTTCCTACGGCTCCACATATTGAGGTAGGCCACAGGATATATATTACGGGCGACACGCTGTGCGTCGACGGACTCCAGGCCATCCCACGACGGCTTCAAGGCCACAAAGTATGCACCTTGGGGGAACCACTATCCCAGGCCCAGTATACTCAGGCCCCAGTATACCTATGCTGATGGTGACGGTAGATGCCAAGCAAGGCGTACTATGAAGCTGTGGTACCCAAGTAGCAATATAGAGGTGATACTGATCCTCAAAGGCTAGACATATGATTCACGATAGGACGGTTGAACGTGTCAAGTCATGCACACGAAGCATAAGATCCCAAAAAACAAGTACTCTCAATATGTGCTACGCCAGGCCAATTATTTGTGATGCTGCTGCTCATACTGATGCTCTTGATATGCGCCATGCTGATCCACTGCGACTCGATCATCTTCCACCCCGCCGTTGGCCTGCGCCATCGGCAAATCGAATGCCCCTCTTGACGGGTGGTACACGTGGGTCTCCTTCATCATCACTGTCGTCGCCCGCAGTTGTTCCCAGTGCTGCCAATCTGCGTTTACGCTCGGCCGGAGTCTCCGGCTCGCCGTCCGCGTCATCCAAGATCTTGACAGGTCGGAGCGGCTCGTCCGTTACGGCAGCTTCGCGTCGTTTCTCGCTGCCGGTGCTGCTACTAGCCTCACCGGAAGATTCACCCGCTTCTTCAGGCAATTGCGGCTGCTGCCGCTGCCGCTCGGGTTGCTTCTCGTCCCCGCCAGACGCGTTGCCGGTCTGCTTAGCCAACGTCTTGACGGCGGGTGGCGCCGATGACTGTTCGACGACGTCGTGGCGAGTTTTGGGGTCAAGTTTACGCATCTCCTTGATAAAGTCGTCCTTGGTCATACGCTTGCCAGCCCCGCCAATGGTGAAACGAACCTGCTTGTCTTCTGCAAGCTCTTGGGCAGCAGCCTTGTTGCCGCTGGTGCCTCCGAAAAGCCAGCCCTTCTTAAAGAGCCCCTCTGCCGGTGCGCTCGGCTCGCCCTCCGTCCCGGGTGTCACAGGGGCTTTGTCGGACGACCCACCGAGGCCAAGGTATCTCTGGCATTGCTGAAGCAGGTCGGGTCCGTCTTTTTGCTTGTCCGTGGGCAGTTCGTACGTCTTGATGACCTCACCGGCTTCGTCTTCAATAACAATCTGCCAATGGTTAACATGTTGTCACGAATATGGCACGGAGAGAGCTTTACTCACAGTGTTGCCAAACTGGTACGCTCGGGCGGGTGCGTGTTTCGGGTCGCTCTTGACTTTGCGCTTCTCCATTTCATCCCTGTAGACACCGCTGACGGTCTGCTTGAAGTTGGTCCAGTTAACGATGGACCCTGACCTCTGTGCTGGTGCTGGCCTCGCTGCTGCCTCGGCATCATCGGATACAGCCTTGCCCCTGCTGTTACTGGGTTCCAGGGCGAGAACGTCGCCATCACGGTTTTCCACCACAATATGGCTGCCCTCTTCGTAAATATTGATTTGCTCGTCCTCCTCCTGGGGCGATTCCTGGCGGCTTGGGTGGTGCTCCATCTTCTCATCGTACCGATCGGCGTCGCCTTCGACCAGCGTCTGCGGAGTGCTGTCTGTTGTAGAGTCCTTGCCGTGGGTGCTAGGCTCCATGGATGACTGCCGTGTCGAGGGAAAGATGGCCGATTGCGACACGGGTCCGCCAGGTCCAACGCCGTAGTCACGCGACTTTCTCCGTCGGCGGTGGGCAGAGGATGATCGACTTCCCTGCTTGACGTTTTCGCCTTCCTTCTGCCGACGCAAGAACTGACCGGTGACACCGACAGGGGGCAGAGTGCCGGGCGGGAAATCGGGCATCTTGAGTTCGTCCTCCTCAGAAACGGAGCGCGCCTGGGACCTCGACTGCGAGGAGATGCGAGGCAGGCGGTTCATCCACGTCGGGCCGTCTTCGGGGGAGGTTGTATAAGACATTGTCAGACTCAGCGTATTGATGCGTTTGCCGAGGGTAAAGACCGCAATAGAAGAGCCGTGAATGATGATGGAAGTAATGACGAGGAACGTCGTAATGGGCCATATCAAGGCAACCACGGTATAATGTGGAATATCGGTTGGAGGCGTGTCGCTCAGTGGCACAGCCGTCTCGTAGGCAAGCTCGGCACGCGCGAGAATGGCGATGAAGATGGCGCCGACACCAATGGGGCCAAAGTGGCCAGCAAACAAAGCCTCTCGCCACGTCTTGATATCCGGTATAAAAGGCTTGAGCGCAAGCATGATGGGGATGCGGCGAAAGAAGATGACGAGAATCGCCAGAACGACCAGACGCCAGGCGGTGAGTCCGCCGGCAATGTTGTTGTACTGTTCCCAAGGGATAATGGTTCCGAGAAAGACAAAATACGCCAGGTTGATCAGAAGATCGATAACGTTCGAGACGTGGGACTCTTCCGTCTTGGCGTGGAACCAGCCATCGTTCGAAAAGCCGACACCGGCGGCGAAGCCTACGAGCAAATCATCCATGCCTAACATACTGCCGGCACCAGCGCAGAAGAGGGCGAGGACAAAGTAGAAGACAAGGAAGCTCTCGCGATCGATGAGGTCGCGCTTCTCAGCCACTCGAATGGCGTGCCTGGCAATGTATCCGACGGTGAATCCAAAGATGGCGCCAAAGATGCACTCGTACAAGATTGTGTACACAAACCAGTGGTAGGTAGTCTTCCTTGCGTCCATGTGCTCCTGGATCAGGTAGATGCCGAGGTAGACAAAGGGAAAGGCCATGCCGTCGTTACAGCCCGACTCGGCAGATAGCAAGTCTCGAAGATGCTTTGGCACTCGCTTGGCAAACTTGCCCTTGCCGACAACCGATGAGGCGAGGACGGGGTCCGTGGCGGTGACGCAGGCGGCGACAACCAGACTGTCAAGCCAGCTGATGGCCGGGACAGCCCACCAGACAAAGAGGCTCACGACAAGCCAGCCAAATGTCATGACGGGAAGGAGGAGCAGGATGACGGACCTCCAGTGTTTTTCCATGTAAAACTTGGGCAGCTCTACGCCGACGGCGAAACATTGGACAACGAGGACGATTCGGGAGAACTCGAGGGTGATGAGGTCGACATTGCCCCAACTCTTTGGGTCGATCAAGTTTGCGGCATGTGGTCCAAAGATGATGCCACAAAGCGTGGCAACGGTGGCTTCTCCAATGTACATACGCTCCTTGATGAAAGAGGAGCAGAGCATGAATATCGAGGTGAAGCCACCAAGGATAATGTATACCAGGTGGGCACTGGTGATCGAGAGGTGGTCCCACGCCATCGTGCTTATTGGTCCGGGGTTTCTTCGTGCGAGTCTTCTTCGGAGTGGTTGCTCAGCCGGAGCATGCGATACCGTCGGCGCTGGTGACGATGCAGCCCAGGACGGGAAGGCAGAGGATACCCCAATCGATATTCTGGGTGGGAATCAGGATGCTAGATCCAGACATTCAGATAGCAGGTGGGCTACGCTGCTTCTCGTGGGGTTGTCGACGCGATAAGAGTGGTAGAGACAGCCCCAGTTGCTGTTCGGTGCTCTCGGCGGTCAGGATATTGCGCACTGTAGGGAATTTTCGATCAGGGCATCGAGACGACGAGCCATTGAAGGGTGGTGACGAGAAACAAAACAAGCACAAGAGAAGAAAAGTCGCTTGCAGCAAGTCGTCGTGAAATGACGGCGCGGCGACACCGGCTAGCGCTGGCGGTGGTGGGGTCAATCGGGGGCAACATTGCGAAAACGAGGAAGGCCCGGTGCAGGGTAGGTAGTTGCATGGGGGTGTGGGCGTGCGCCTTGAACGTTGGGGGTGGTCCTTGGGTTGTTGGCGTCGTACCTCCGAGGCACGCGGAGACAGGTTCCACGTACTTTCAAGGAGGTCTGCTCCTCGAGGCCCCTTGGCCTTTTTCATGTTCATCACGGTCAAGGCGCCGCGCGACAGGGCATTTTGGCGAATGCTCTTTGGCGCCAGTTGGCTCCTTGGGGTATTGTCCGCAACATTCCGCAACCGGCGGGGTGGAATGCATCTCAACGGGCGCTCACCACTTTTTTTCCAGTCTTCAGCCCAATTACCTCAGGTACCTGGCCGCCCAGAGGCACCACGCTGTGGTAACGCTCCTGATGACATCAGCCCCGGACTGGTCATGCCGTACGATGACCCTGGACCCAGACCTAGTCCGGCTAGCCCACTACCTTAAACCTGACTGTTGCAAATAAACACGCATCAGGCCCCTGTCTACAAGACCTGTTTTTCGGTACCGGACACAAGCTTAAATCTGGTGTTTTCTCATTCACTTGCAGCTGGTCTATCTGACTGCAGGCGTTGGCATCGATATTGCCCGGATCCTGACACGGATAAGAGGGACCCTGACAAGCATTGGCAAAAGCTTGAGTGCAAGCTTTTCATCGAGACCATTGGCCTCTCCACAGCCAAGCCGGCGTCTCAACTCTGGGCGCCAAGACGGCAGTACTTCCGATTCTTGTATTCTGCCGAGAGGCCTAACGCATGTCAAAGGCTTGGATCATCATTTTCACCAATAGGCCCAAAGTGCAGTAACAGTGCTGGTCAATGATGGCGCGAGGCCAATTGGCGCTATATACTTTCACAAATCCGACACATTGACCCCCCTTCCCCACGGTTTTGCAAAATACAAAAGTGCATAGACATGCGTATGGAAGTAAAGAGCGCGGTCTGCGGGCGTTGAGAGCCGTGACGAGAATGGCCTGTATCTAAGGTCACACGACGGAAACGAAGGAAGGCAAGAACTTCAAATGCCCTCCTTTCGATGCAATCCAGTGCAACGAACGATACTTCTTTCCCTCCCGGTGCTGTGTTGGTATCATGTTCAAACTGGAATCCAAATGGGTGTGAATAAGGACGAAGGCGAAGAAAGGGAGATGGCATAAGGCCAATGTGGTACAGCCGCGAGTGTCAAGAGGGCACGCTCGGCCCTGCCAAGCGGGGAAAGTCGTCAAGTGGCGTAAGGGTTATCTCGGGCTGGTGAAGCTTTTGTCGACAAAGAAAAGAGGCCGATAGGGCAGGGTATGTAGGTATCACGAAGGAGAGGAATTCGAGGTCATCACTGACCGAATGCGGCATGCGCTTGATGCGCTTCTTGGAGAGCTGGCGCATGTCAGTACACGATCTGATTCGGTAGAGAACTTGACTTACTGTGCAGGACGCTGAGCTGACCCGCACGACCTTCGCACGCGATCTGTAGGCTCGATCCATCGACAAAGTCAAGGACCACGCTGTTCGGCAGCTCCTGAATCTCGACATCTGGGGTATAGGGGTTGCGGAAGTCACTGAGGTGGTATCTTTTAACACCGACGCCGCCAGTCTTGCCCTTGTGCATTGAAGGAGCAGTTGTGGCGCTAAGAAGTAGAAATCCCTGAGAGTCTAGGCACATTGTGCGGCGTTTCCAGAGCAGATTGTCGGGAAACTGGACGTTCACGTCACCCATGTAGGCCAAGACTGAGGACTGTTGCTGGCTGCTCTCACGAGTGACGCTACGGGCAGCCATTGTGTCGGCCAGAGTTTCTTCTTGAACGGTGGGAGAGATCGTTGTGGGAGAAAGGACCTTGCCGCGGCTGGCACTGAGCGACGACGACAGGCGGCGCATGAACCTACCAGCGCGACTCTTTTTCTTGTCGCTGCTCATTGACTTGCTATCATCGCCAGAACCGCTCGTTTCCGTAAACATAGAGGGCGACATGGCACCGGCGGCTGCGTCTTTGCTGATGGAGGAGCGTCGACTGCTGATCGACAAGCGACGTGGGAACCCACTGTTGTGGTGTGTTGACGGTGGGCGCGAAGAGGGTGAGCGCCCAGGGCTGAGCGGAGTTGACCCGCTCGTAAGGCCGTCGCTGGTAGCAGTGGTCAAGGACTTACGGCGCTCCTTGATAAAGTCTTTGACGATGCTGAGGGAAGAGCGGCGCGGCGTTTCGTCCTCATCATCATCCTGTGCCTGGGACATGCGCTTCTCTCGCGATGCCCTCCTCTCCTGAATCGTCTCGCGGGGAATGGATGCGGAAACCAACTCGGCCCGCTGGTGGTTTACCTCGAGTGGAGATATCTTGAAGTCCAAACGATTAAACTCAGCCGGATCTTTCGGCGCTTCGAGCGAAGCAGTAGCTTGGCTAGGGTCTCGCACAATGCGTGCGGTCACGGAAATGGACTCTGGACGGCCACGCGGCATCGAATCTGGTGAGGGAGTGATGGGTCCTTCAAACATGGACAGCCTGCTGGCGACAGACGTCGACCTCTCACGTCGGACCCTCATTTCTGGGGATGCGTCCCGTGACTCTGAGACGGCCGTGCTGGGAGGGCTACCCCTCTGCTGACGGGTCAGAGAGGTGGCACGATCAACGACAGAGGGAGATCTAGAAGGTTCTCGCGTGCTGTTTTTACGAACGGAGAAGAACTGTGCCGACGGCGCGTTGATGCGGGACGAAGCTTCGCTGTTAGCAGAGGAGCCGGAGAGCTGCTCAAGAGCCTTGATACGTTGCGAGATCTTGGAACCCATTTTGCCGGTCTTGGGGGCGAGGTGTTGGTTGCCCAACTGCTGCTGGGTGATCTTGTGTAAATAGGCCGCGCCAGACGAGAAAGATCGAGCCGAGCTCTGCGAAACGTCGGTTGGAGTGAGAAGATTTCCACGCACGGGATTTGAAGTCGTTCGTACAACACTGCGCGGACTGCCCTTCGTGCTACTAACGTTGCCCGCGGTGGTCGCGTGCCTCTGTGGACTGGGAAATACCGGGGTGATGGGCGATTTTGAGACAGACATGGGCTGTGCTTGTTCGACCGTAGCTGACTGAAGTTCGTTCATCAAGGATTCGTCATCGGAGAGATGAACCTCAGACCGAACCTCTGGTGTGTCGAGATCGGTGCGGATGGGCTCGATGGTCTTACGCTTGGAGTGGCGTTTCTTCCCTGCAGTCGTTTCAACGTCTGCCTCTGATTTGATCGATAGCGAGTGCGCGGGAGGGACATCGTCAGAGGGGGGTACGATAGTAGGGACCTCGAGTACAGGTGATCTCGGGCTGCTGTGCTCGCGGCTGGAGAAGCGCGACGTTGGAATGGCAAGGCTCGGTGATTGAGGGGATGTCGGGGTTTTTGGTGGCGCTTCGGATTCCCCAGGTGAGGTCAGCCTGGCAAGCGGCGCGGCGACATGACTTGAAAACTTGGAGATGGGCGGCGTCAGGGGTGTTCCCGAGTCTCGTTCGATTGATGCATCTTCGGATACTTCTTTAGCATGACTACTTTCTGGAGCGCTCTGCTCCTCCGACGGTCCCGAATGGGAGCTGGGCATGGGAGTCATCTCTATCGGTGCGGTAGCAATGTCCGCAGTAACAATGACAACTGCATCTGCCGAGGGAACACCGGTGGCTTCTGGGCTCGCCTTATCCACGTCATTATCAGCTGCGTCGCCCAAATGGATACTGTCGGCTTCATTCCCATCCTTTCCGGCCTGAGATTCTCGAACAGTTTCATCAGTGGACTCGGACAGCGAAGAGGCTTTGGTCGACTGTTCAGGTTCAGAAAAAGTAACGAGCGGAGAGGTGGGCCGCGAGTCACTGCGCGTTGACTCGGATGGGTCCGTCTGCATGGAAATAGCTGAGGCGTCGCCGGCGAGACCGGATTCGTGAACAACCGTAGACAGCTGATGTTCCGCTTGTTCGGGTGTTGTCGGGGTCTCGTCGGCGGTCGCTTCATCGACGGCATGACGAGTTTCTTCCACTGGGCTGTCGGGTACGGGAACCGCTGTAGGCTGCAGGGTCAGTTGTTTCCGCTTCTCACGCATCTGCATGGCCTTCATAAGCCGTGCCTTCTCGGGTGTCATGGTCTGCTTGACCGAAGCGGAGAAGGTGGACAGAACGGGAGACTTCATTGAGACGCCAGAGCTTGTCGCGGGTCGGCCAGAACTCGGAGGTGGGCGCATCAGTTCGTGGGTTAACGTTGGTGACGTTTCGGGCAGTGGGATTGATGCTGCAGTTGCGACTTCGGCAAGCTCGTCGTCGTGCTCAACAAGTTCATGTTCATAATTGTCAGGCATTTTCTTGCGCTTTCCGTCTTTAGAGTAGGAGCGGGACTTGAAGCCTGCAGGCATTTGCGAAACGGGTCGAAAGGTGCCTGCTGTTTTGGGGCGGCCACTGACATCGAGCGACGGCCGTGGACCGAGTTTGACCTTGGGCTTCCCGTAGGGGTAGGAGGAATAGCTGTATAAGTCAGGGCGCGCCGTCTGGGACGACATCCGCCTTTCACTGTCGCCGGTCGGTGACGTTGGCCGTGCAGCACCGACAAAGTCTGGCGGTTCAGACGACGGAGAGAATTCCCTTTCTTCGGGAGACGACGCCAGGTCAGCGTTCAAGGTGACAGGGGGCACAGGCGCAGGTGTTTTGGGCGTTGTCGACGCGTCTGATGGGTCATCCTCATTGAGTCCCGTGTCATCCTCGTGAACCACCGATTGTCTCTTGCTGGCTCTTTGTTCTTCCTCTTCCTCCTCAGCAATCTCCATTAAACGTCGCCTTCTGAGAGAACTTGTAGAAGACGAGATGGATCCCGAGGCAGCATGCAGAGAGCAAGCAGCCGACAGCTTTGTGTCCTTTAGTTCTTTGGCGGTCGAGATCGAGAAGGTAGTATTGTAAGGCGCGAACCTCTCGCATACGGCATTGAAGTGGACGGTCACTCGAGCTGCAAAAACACTATCAGTCATGATCCTTGAAGAAGTGAGGGGGGGGGGGGAGGCATCGTAGCTACCTTGTATGAGCCGGGAGGTGTCTTCAGGCAAGTACTTGATGATGACATTTCGTCGGCGGTATCGTAGAAAGCCGAACAGGGGCGAGTTCTCCTCAAACTGGGCAATATTGTTTCGCATCTCAACTATGCCACCGTTGCCGCGGCTGAGGACGTCGACTTCATCTCGACTGGCATATTTGAGGAGGAACCTATGAAACTTCTTAGCCAGAGATTTCAACCATGTCGATATCACGAGAACCATACCATCCTCCTGGCTCGGCCGCAGCAGCTTCGTGTGCCTCCTTGATCAGGCTTCCATCAAGCCCGTTCAACGACATGCTTGCTAGGATTGGTGAGCCGAGGCTTGCCACCGGCTAGTTGTCGGCAAGTGGTAGGCGGGATCCAGTATCAGCTCTTCGGGCTAACGTTCTCGGTACAGAGGGAGGAAGATGCCAGACACGTAGCATAAGCTTGGTCCAGGGCTGTTCGCAGAGCACAGGAGAGGGGCCACGCGCATGGGAAGCGGTCGAGAAGCTCGGGAAGGGGCCTCAGAGACGGAAGCTTCTGCAAGTAAAGAGGCTTTCTGTGGTGCAAGCTTCGGAGTGTATCAGCAACGTGAGCGAGTGGTGTTATGGCCGGCGGATGTCGAACGAAGAGGAATGCACTGGAGGCGCTGGCTGGAATTGGGGGGATTAGGGGTGGATCGGGGTGATCTCATCAGATGCAATGTACGGCAGCGTTGTTAGGCAAAAAAAAATGAGAGATGCAAGGCAGCTGGACAAAGAAACAGAGCAAGAGTGATAGAGCGCTCTCGTGATGGAATTCAGACGTTGTGGTGTCTAATGGACATCGAGGGGAAATCGACAATACACGATGGACCAAAAAAAAAATGAGGGTCGTCGGACAGAAACACGACAGATGAAGCACTGGGCAGACAGGTGGATTGGTATTGGATGTCACTCCCCAATCTCCAGAGCGGCGGGCCGGGCTGGCCTCCACTCCAGTTTAGGGGGCAAGGACGGTGCTTGGCGAGAAAGACAAAGATTCAAGGGTGGACTACTCGCACTAGTGCTGTAATTGGCAAACACTCTCCCTGCGAGCTCGGGCCTCCATGCAATGCATGGTTCTCTCATTATGCATGCCACCATCCATCCCACACCATCTTCTCGTGCGCACCTGTCCATGTTTAGTGTGCCGTCAGCTTGAGCCTAACAGTACGAGGCGCGTCCAGCTGGTGCTTTGAAGACTTCCATACCAAGTCTGCATTCTCGCTTCCTCAGTGTCAAAAGAAGGCTTGCGGAACAGTCGTGTTATCGCCAGCCTACCTTTCCTCTCTTCGACGAATTTGCACCACCTTGGCACGTGGCGCATGGTGCATGAAAGAATCCCCCATCCAGGCGTCAACACGAGATTAGTTGTCCATCTCGCATCCCCTCCTCAATGACGGGACCCCAAACAGATCTCGGGGGATATGGAGATTTTCCCAAAACACGGTCGTCTCATTTCTTCAGGACAGTACCGCAATCCTTGTTTCGAGGGAAATGTGAGTAGATTGCCGAGCCGCGCTTGATTGACGATACATGCCACTCCGGGGTTGCAGCTTCCCAAGCTGGTGTCAGCGGGGAGGCGGGAGACATGTTGCTTTTCCCTCCGCGATACGGCAAGAACAATTTTGATCGGCTCCCGCAAATTCGTTACTCCTCGCCGTCAGCGCGTACAGTACTTGGGACGTCTCAGATATTGAACTAGAAGCTGACAAGAGACATGCGTCGCAACCACCCTTCTCAACAATTCTGGTTTTGACACGAACCACCATTGCTTCTGCGTGAACCTTCTCGCGGATGACGCTCTCAGCCTATGGCCATAACCATTGCGCTCGGGCCTTGCAGAAAACAAGTTTCTCCATTATCTTTGGCATTATCCTTGACTTTGAGAGACTTGCTGCGGCTCCACGTAAGTCCACACGCAAGTCCAATCCGCTCCTTGCCAGCGATTCAAACTGCTCCTCGCTCAAAAGAACAGCAGCCGAACCGCTGACTGCGGAAGACGCTGCTCGTTCCCATCATGATGCAGAACTCTCCCGGGAAAAAACTGCTGACGAATCCCAGCTTTGGAAATGAAATCGCCCAAGCTTGCTGTCAGTCCACAAGGACGGTAGCGTCCTGCCGACTAACATGGCTGAACAGGGTTGGGATGAAGACGTGCGGAGAGCAGTGTTGCTAAATGGGGTCAAAGCGGCTTTACAAAGGAGGGGTACACATCAGGGGTTCAGGTTCTCGTCAGGCCGCCCACTTCAATCGTACAATGGCAGGTTCAAAAGTTCAAAATACGCCTTTGGGGGTTAGAAAGCTATGTAGAACGTCTTTACAAGAGCATACTGGACAATACTGAGAGGAGCCATTTCCTTGGGGAATTCCATACGCCGTTTCCATGCCTTCGTTATTTTCTGCTTCACAAATTGCACGGTCCGCTGATTTATTGAGAGCCCCCGACAGCGCCGGGAGGCGGTGCCTCGAGGTCGACAGCCTCGAGCTGGGCACGCTGGTCAGCGCTTGATCTGACCAAGTTGCCGAAGTACTTGAGTGCCACTTGGCTCTCCTTTTTGACCTTGAGCGTCTCCTCTCGGCGGATGCCAAGGTCCTTGACACTTTGGTCGAGGCCAACGCGGAGATTGTCGGCCGGGATACGGAGCACCTTGCGCACAGACGACGAGATGCGTGTCGAGTTGTCGTGGACGTAGTCAAGGGCGTGAAGCTGTGTCGAAATTTTGTTCGACAGGCGGTGGGGGAGGGAATTAGGGATCTGGTTGAGGATATAAGCTGCAGCAGAGATGGCTAGGACACATATTAGCAACACGATGCGGCGAAAAGGGGGCGAGGGTGGGCAAGACTCACCGGCGACAACGAGGCTCGGCAGGATGAGCCTACGCAGGTTGTCATTGCTGACGAGTTTCGCAGCATTGACAGCATGATCCATCCATCCATTCAGTCCAACGACCCGCGGCACAAGGGCACCCGCCAACGTGAGAGCCATACCAGTTCCTGCGACCTTTTCTTGCTGTTGAAACAGTGTAGGCCAGTCAACAAAGTCCCATAGCTCGGTAGGTACATCGACCTGCCTGGCCATGGAGTCGCGTTTTCTCTTGAACATGACGTCTGGTCGGAAGGTAAGGTTTTGAAACTCGTCGCCGACGTGCAAGATGCCAAGTTGCTTGATTGCGTTGACTCCGCCGACCGTCCGATCCCGGGCATGCTGCTCACACAGAGCAACCGACTCAGAAATGTGAGCCATCATGGCCTGCTTGAGCTCTGCCGCATACTCAAAGGCGTTAAAAATGCCAGGGTACTCGACACCATGGTTGTTGTCGCCAGCGTGCTCGATGGCGGAGTTCAACGTGCTCCTCGTGTGGTCATAAACCTCTTTACATGTTTGTTCGATGGTCCGATCAATCTCGTCGCCGACCTCAGACTTGGCTCTCCTGCTGGTCTCAAGCTGAGGCTCAATCTCGCGCAGCTCAGCTGTGACTCGATCAAGCTCTCCTTGTGCCACGTCGGTATTCACATTAGCTAGAGTGTTGACGTCGTTGAGAATATTGAGCAGATACGTCTTGGCCGGCGCCAACTTGGACCTGGCGCGCTTTTCCAAGACGAACCTGCGCAGAGACTGCTCGAGGTGTTCGAAACTGCGAAGTTTCTCCATGTCCTTGCCCTTGCCCTTGGGGTCATCGCTGGGATCATCACCTCCGCCGCCGCCGCTTGCGCCGCCGCTGCCACCGCCGCCACCGCTAGGGCCGCCTGGAGGCGGACCGGTAGGGATAGCGTTGCTGGACACGAAATGCACGAGCTCCGACGCTTCCTTTCCGGTCTGTGGGCTGAGTAAGTCAACTTGATCGAGAATCGTTTTCTCACACCTCGCCTTGTCCCGGATGACGTCGAATCCGTTGACGACCATGAAGAGATAGGCCTTTTCCTTAGCTGCTGCCCAGATGAATTCCTTGGCGGTTATGGTGAAATGGTTGGCCGCTGAAACAACAAATACAACAACGTCAATCTCTTCCTGACGCGCGAAAACGGCTGTGGTTTTGGTTGTGTCCGAGTTGAGGCCAGGCGCATCGATGAGCGCAATGTCCACCACGCCATTGTTGAGCAGTGATTCGTCAATGGTCCGCACGTCCCTGACGTAGACCTTACACAGGGTGTAGGTAACGTTGTCGAGAACAATATCTTCGAGTGCGGCCAGCTTGAAGACGTCATACGTGGATTCGTCGTGTCGATCGTATGTTGCGTCTTTGTGCACGGCGTGTACTTCTTCCATTCCTCCGTTCTCCCTAGCGTCCAAAACTTCACAAAAGATGGATGTGCATGGCTGCTGGTCCTCGGGCAAAATCTTTCTCCGCAACAGCGCGTTGCAAAAGGTTGATTTTCCCGCGTTCAGGTCGCCAGTGACGAGAACCTTGCTGGACGTATCTTCGATGCGATCGCGCAGACTCATGAGGTGTCGGATGCTCGAACTGATCTGACCATCCAGTAACGATGCAATGGAGCTCTTTTCAAGCGAGTGAACGAGCTCTGCCTGGTGCAGCGCTCCCAGCTTGAGGTCGAGCTTTAGGATGGAAAAGTCTTGGGCGATTTGCGGTGTTACCAGCCGTGGCTCGTCTGCTGTCCTCCTCCTGTCCTGGGCCCTGCTGGATTCAGCATCGTCGTGCGCGTCAGCGGCTGTGGTCATGGATCGTCGTAGCATCGGCGGCGAAACGGGCGAAGATGGTTCGGAGCTTCGGGTGTTGCCCATGGTCGACTGGGCCTGAGAGAAGCCAGGCCGCGTGGGACCTCTCGGTGTTGCTGGGACCTCGGTTCGTTGGACAGTCGGGTAGTGCGCGGGCCATTGGGCGTTCATCTCCTGAAGTTCCCTGAGGAGCTCGACGACCTTGCTGATCGAGCGACCGAGCGCCGAGCGATGTGCGTTGTACCATAGCTGGTAGACGGCGCCGGCTGGCGAGCGGCGGTCGACATCAGGTTGCGTGGCGTGGTTGAGGGCAAGTCTTGTGTTGTAGTCGCCATCGGCACTGCCGCCGTAGCCAGAGTCTTGGTCAAGCATCGCCTGGAGATGAGCGGCGTGAGCAGATGTTGAACCTGTGCCAACGGTCATGAACTGCGGTCGGCTGGTTGATGATGCCGAGGATGGCTCGGGCGCGCTGGGGGTCGCCGCATCGTCGCTTTCGACCTCTTGGCCCATTGGGCTCTTGCCCTTCCCGGAAAAGTAATCCTGGCTCATAGTTGTAGTTGCGCGATTGAAGACGGCATTGTCGGGGGCGTTTGTAGGTTGAAGGATGTATCGGGAA